TCCATGAAACTCATCAAGGCATGGCCGGCTGTAGAGTCGACTAGACTGTCGATCTTGGGCAATGGATAACTGTCTTTGGGGCATGCCTTGTTAAAGTCTGTGTAGTCCACACACATGCGCCAAGTACCATTCGGCTTCTTTACTAAGACAACATTGGCGACCTAGTGAAATAACATTGCCGAATGAACCCAGCATCAAGTAACTTTTCAACCTCGGCGGTAGCCGCCTGGCTTCTTTCTTCGCCATGGTTCCTCTTCTTTTGTCGAACCAGCTTCTTTTTAGGATCCACACCTAGCTTATGTACTGCCAGGTCTAGACTTATACCTGGCATCTCATGTACTTCAAATACGAAGATATCCTTAAATTCCTTCAGGAGTTGGTGAAAATCATCACCAAGAACAGCAAGAGAAGTCGTCCCAACCTTAACAGTTCGGTCAGGACGTGAGTCGTCCAGGGTGACGTCCACATGCTCACCAGCCGGTTGAGAGCGGAATTCGTCTGACCGCTCCTCCGCCAGTGACTGCTATTGTTTTTCTTTTCTTTCAGCCCCCAGGTGGGCGGCCTTTCTCTTCTTGTCGCCTACTACTTGGGCAGGCGTATCATCATTGATTTGTTCAAGGTCAGCTTTCTCTCCACTGGGGCCAGCAACCGCCATAGTGGGTTTTATATAAGAGAGGTAACACTCCCTGGCGATCTTTTGATCTCCCCGTAGGGAGCCGACTGATCCATTATCTCTCTCAAACTTGAGGAGCATGCGAGATGGGATGATAACAACTTTAGTTTCATTGAGGGTTGGGCGCCCTAGGATCATATTGTAGGCCGACAACTCTTCAACTACAAGGAATCGGACCACCATGTGACGGCCCTCCCCCTTCTCACCCAGGCGGAGAGGGAGATCCACTCGTCAAACTGGGTGGACGATTCCTCCTCCGAATCCTACTAAAGGATGGGAGACAGGTTACATGCTCTCAGTCTTGTATTTGAGCTTGGTCAAGCATCGATAACTAATGAGGTCAGATGAGCTTCCAGTATCAATAAGGATTCGGCCAACTCTTTGGTTGGCCACCTTGCATTCAATTACAACAGGGTCATCATGCGGCCCCCTAACACCTCCCAAGTCTTCCTCAGTGATTACAACCTCAGAAATGAACTTTTGGAGGTCTGTCCTTGCTCGACGGAGTTAACATCCAGACGCCTGATGTTATCTTTGTTGGCCCGGATAGTAGGGCCACCTCCTACGAAGCCGCCTGCTATGGTATAAATGGGTGCTTCATCAGTGTCAGAGCTGTCGGCTGACTGTTGCTTCCTTTTGGTCGCCTGTTTCTATGTGGGGAGTGGATTCCCCTTAGACTTCTTGACATAGGAGTCGAGGTCCCCTTTGTCTGCCAGGCGGTCCAGAAGGCGCTTGAGGCTGATACATTCATTGGTTTCATGGCCAATATCCTCATGGTAGTGACAGTATTTACTTTGGTTCCGATTGCTGATGGAACCCTTCATGGTGGTCGGCTTCTCAATTGAGAACCGGTCCTTTATTTCATTGAGGATGGCATGGCTATCCTTGTTAAACTCATACTTGGGGGAGTATGGTTTAAATTCCTTCTTCTTCTTCTTCTTGGACGGCTGTTCAGAGGAGTCGGTCGCCCAGACTTCTTTTCTCTTTTTCTCTTCCTTATTGGCCGACTGCTTTGGTCGGCTTTTTCTTTTGTCAGAACTTTTCTGGTTCGACTGTTTTCTAACATTACAGAGGTCAGTCGCCTGAATGTTGGCGTCCGCCTCCATCATTGCTTCTTAGAGGGTGGTTACGCTCTTTCAGACGAGGTCGAATTTAAAGTTCGGCCGGTCCTTCAAACCTTTGAAAAAGTCTGTATAGGCTACTTCATCAGGTTGTCCTTGTATCTAAATTATCATCAAATTAAACCTTTTGATGTAAGAGCGCAATCCCTCCTTCTCTCCCTGATGTGGCCCCCAGATCAAGGGTAATCTTCTTAGCAGGAATGTTCATTGCGAAGTTTGATGTGAACAAGTAGGCGAGGGTCTTGAAATTGTTAATACACCCGGCCGACAAGTTGCCAAACCATTGCTGGGCGACTCCCTTCAATGTGGCCGGGAAACACTTGCACCACGTGGCGTCATACAACCCTTGGAGGTACATAAGGTTGGTGTATGCCATCATGTGATCTTCTGGGTTGGTAGTGCCATCATATGCCCCTACCAACACATTTATTACTTTGGCCGGCTGGGCGGCCTCTATTATTTCCTTAGAGAAGGAGGATGGTTGTTCTCCAAGTTTGAGATACCTAAGTTACCAGTCCAAAGGCTGGATATTCCTTGCCACCTGTCCTCTATAAAGAGTAGGCTGCATGAAATATTGGGACTGCGGGACCTATGGTTGAGGAGGCACATACGGGGCCGCCTGATGCTTCTGGGAACTAGAACGAGAGGAGGCTCCGGGCGTCTGGCTCTCATAATTTGATTTTGAATACCTCAGGGAGGTATTATGTAGGCTGTCTTGAAAATCAGACGTAGAGGCCGACTCTGAAAGTAGGTCATTCTTCTTCTGCTCAAGTAACATTCGAGCATCAGAATGTGTTCTCTTTGACCCGTCCGGCTGAACATGACGGAAGGGCTTTCTCTTCCCTGGTGAGGGAAATTGGTACTTAGTTAGGTCGATCACTGGTTCCTCCCTCGCCCTAGGCTTAGGGTAAGGAGTCGCCTCCTGATCCTTTACAAGCTTCTTCCTCCCATATTGGGAGGGTCTTCTGGCCGACTGTTCCTTTGGTGGAACAGGCGTCCTCTTGTTGATAAGCTCCTGGATCTCCCCTTTGAAACTATTCATGAAGGTCATGAGTTCGCTTCTGGTGATGGGGGTAGATCCCTCGGCCGCCTATTGATGATCAAGCGGCTGGCCGGCTGGTTTACTAGATCCAGCCAGGCAATCCTCCCGTTCCCTCCTTTCAGTGGGACGGGTGCGTCGAGCTCTAAAGGTCCTGTCAGAGGCCGTATGAGTCTCGACTTCAATTTCATTGTCAGTGTCTTGGTCCGTCTGAACCAAGGGGTTGTCCAGGGGACGCTTCTCACTTAGAATCGGTACAGACTGTGATTCCATCTCGAAAATACTCTCCCCACAGACGGTGCCAAAATGTTTCGGGGTTTTTTTGATGTCCTGCGGGAGAGTTACAATTCCGGGATTGGTATCTTTGCGCCGGTACTTGCAAAACAACGGAGACTCCGGGTGGTGGGAGCTCCGCCTCCGACGATCAAGTTAGTACTTGTATGTGGAGTAAAAAGGTGCGGAAAGTAAAGAGGGTGATCTGGTTCTCGAAGGGGAGGAGTGATCGGGGAGTGCAAATAATGCTAAGTCTGGTCCAGCGATTAAAATGCACGTGTGTTTAAGCTTCTCTTGGTGAGAGTAATTAATTCTGAATGTGTTAAATGGAGTCTTAATTACCGTATTTATAGCCTCGAAGTGTGTGCCCAATACTAGGCTTTAGGTAAACCTAGGACTGATTGGGCCTTGCCTCGGAAATCGGGCCTTGGTGGCCGTTTTCTAGGTTGGCATGTCATGGACCATGTGGCGTGGCATGATTAGTCCATGCTGGACTGATTACTGCTTGACACATGGCAGGCTCTGACTAGTTCATGTGGCGGACACATGGCAGGACCTGATTGGTCCACGTGACAGACTGTAATTGGGCGGGGAAAAATCCCCTAATCACCTCCCATCATAAATGATTGGGTATTTATAGGGGTGGGAATGTGTGCATTTTAGGGTTGGTGCCCTAAAAAGGAGTGCACTGATTAGCGGCACAATCAGGTAGAGACACGTGTCTCTTGGGGGGCGTCATTATGACGCCTTTCTCGGGATTTGGGCCTCCTGATGTAAGAATGCCTCCTCTCTTTTAGTTGCCCTTATGTTTTGCCACATGTCATCTTCCTATTGGGACATGTGTCACCCTTTTATTGGGCCCCGTGTTACTATAGGATTGGGCTACGTGTTAGGGTAATTTTTACCCTAAACAAGTGGTCTTTTTACTTCTTTGTCATAATTTGTTAATTGAAAAAATGACTTTTTTTTTGTAGACCGCTTAAAATCTAATATATATAAACAGGAGTTTTTTCCCGAGTTTTTAGAGCACCATGTAGGATTTTAATTTTTAAAAAATTATTAGAGCGCCACTTAGGATTTATATTTTTAAAACGATAATAAGATTTTGCCACTTAAGATTAGTTTTTTTTTTTTTAAAGCGCTATGTAGGATTTTAATAAAAAAAATCGCCACGTAGGTTTAATAATTTTAAAACGCTACAATAGCATTATGCCACGTAAGATTAATTTTAGAGCGTCACGTAGGAAAATGTTATATTTTAGCCAATAAAAAGAGAATTGCAATTTATTTTAGATTAAATTTTTTATAATAATTATAAAAATAAAATCAATGTGTTTTTTGTGTGGCTGGCCATATCGTGTGGTCGGTTGAGACACACCCAAACACTGACCGAGTAACCCTAACCGTTCGAGTAACTCCCTTGACCAACCAAGTAACTCTTGAACAAATAATCCCGACCACACGGTGTGACCAGTCACATATGAAACTTTGTGAAATAAAATATTATCTTTTTGTATTAAGAATTTTATCTAAATATGAGAAACAAATTTAATAATTCATTCTATAATAAAATATTCAAGTAGTAAGCAAACGAATATCACAAAGTTTATTTGATAAATATATATTAGTAAAATATTTTATTTGAAAAAATACAAACAAACCGTGCATCGCATGAGCTTCATCTAGTTTGTATTACAAGTATTTTTTTCAACAATTTTTCCTTTTTTTACCTTTTATTTATTTATTTATTTATTTTCAGGTTACCGGTACTTGATATTGAATAAAGAAAACGCAAGTGAAAAAGTTAAGATCACTAAAGTGTATTTTTCCTTTTTTTATTAGTTCCGATAATTTTTTTTATTTTTTTTTTCACTATTCTCTTTTATATATAAAACTCGAAAGTGCATATATTAGTAAATTAGGATGGAACAGGATGAAATGATGAATCACAACCATTTTATTAAGCAGTGTGTAAGCTCTTTCCCGCTCTCATCAATGGCAGCTTTCACTACTACCATTCCTACATCCTACTGGGATCCCGAAGACTGGGAAATCGTCAACGACGATGGCTTCGTCTACAAGCGCAAGAAGCGTCGCATCGATCCTTTTTCCTTCCCTTGTGCGCCAGATCCCGAACCAGATCCTGCTCTTCAAATCAAGCAAAGAAGGGAGAAAAAACTTGCAACTTTGCGCAACTTAAAGGAGAAATATCAAACCGAAATTTGTCTTTGGGACAATTTGTCGAACACCTTAAAGACAATGGAAGATAGTGTTAAATCTAAGCTTGAACAGGTTAAGGAGAAAGATGACGAGGAGGGAGAAGGTGGGAAAGTTCTAGAAATGGGTGCTAAAGGGTCTGAATCAGTTGTTTCAGTCGAAAAATGTTCTGGGTCTTTAGTCGATGAGCTTCTTTTGCAGGTAACCATTCAATAATTCGTGGTTTTATGCCTTTTGATTTGTTATTGCTTTTTCTATGTTTAAACCTAGCTTATTGATTGAATTTTTCAATTTCTAATTTAGTAGTGTGAGCTTTTTAGTATTGGAATTATAAGTGTTGGGATTCTAGGTTTTGAAGAAGTTTTGGTAGATTGAATTATTATAGTTTTATTAATTCATAGGAGTATGACTTGATTTGGTTATTGGAGTATTAAATTGTGTAATTTCAATAGAAAATTGGAATTAAAATTGCTTTGAGATGGTATTAATTTAATATAGACCTCCAACATTACGGAAATACCAAGTGAATTTCGGGTAATTTGGAGGAATTTGGTTTGTGTTTGTGATGTGGTTTGTGCTAGTAGTGTTATTGCAGAACTTTCTATCATGGTATGTGGATTATGACTAAATTTCGGGATGTTTTGTGTGTTTTAAGGTTGAAGCACAGGAAGCAATAATACACAACTTTGAGCAACTTTGTGATGTAGCAGAGTCCTTGTGCAATGCCCAGGAGGAGAAGGCAAAAGAACATTACTTTAATCTCCCAATTTGGAATTCCCCTTGTGAACTTTTGGCATCGCTTTGTGAGGATTGAGTATTGCTTGGCTAATGCCGGTGGTGGTTGTTTATGGGCTATGCCTGAGTGTTAAGCACGTAGGTGTCAGGTTATTGAAAATAGTGGTTCGATATGGATATAGAGCCAATTGAAATTCCCAGTGTATAGATGTATTGTTATGTGGAAAACGAGAATTTATGTGAATGAATGTTGTTAGTCTGTGTTCATGTCGTTTCTCTTTATTTCTGTTGAAAAGAGGGAGAGGGGTTGAAATCTGATAAATTATAATGGTGAACTTTTGCAAGTTAGACGCTCTACATTTTGTGACCTGTTATTCAACTGAAGTAGTGTACAAGTATAGGTACTATTTTTACTCAAACTTTGGTATGGTTTTGTTTGGAACTTGAGTCTTGTTATTAAAAGTACTGGTAATTTGGCTATTTCTGAGACCCTGTTCTGCAATTGACTGGTGTGATGTTGATATTGATATGCATCGTATTGGGATGGGGTGTTGCTGGTTCTGGAATAACCAGTGTCCTTTCTCCTAGATTGAGCTAATGATCCAGTATCAGGTGTATTTTTTCCAAAATATCTCTCTATAAAGTCAGAAAAATCTGGAACATGCCGTGCACTTAAAATATCTCAAATATGCCACTGGCATTGGGTATGAGTGTCAGTTTCGGTACATTTCCTAGTCTTGGATATCATAGGGCTCAAAGTGTTGGACAGAACAAATTGGAGGCATATGTGAAGATACAACATTCATATAACACTTTTTCCATTCTAAGACATTTGTACAAGCTTTTCCCATTGTACTTTATATGGTTAAACACATTTGAAGTTAATGTGTTCAGCTTCTTGCAAGTTATAGTTAAAAATCTTCATCTCTAATTTTAAAGCTTGTATGATATACAGAAGCTTTCTATTGTCTTTTCCCTCTCCTTTTACATTTGTTGAGGAGTTGAGGTGAAAATTGAATTGTCGAAGGCAAGGATTCCGCTCTCATTCTTGTTGAATGAGTGTCCAACACATTTACATACCATAAAATGTAGAGTTGAAGTAACATATTTTTCGGCTGACTACATGATGCAAATGAGAAGTATCAGCACTTCAGCTCCTTAATAACTAGGTAGAATGATACTGACCTGCTTATTCTTTGTTGGCATGTCCAGTTGTGATGAATTGTTGAGGCTGTGGCTGGACAGGAGTTTAACTTAATGCATACCTTTCTTGAGGTCGGAGGCCTCTACTTCATAGCATGACCTCGTTCTCAAAGTCTCAAACTGACATGGTCATAGTTACTTTGGTTTGTTCAAGTCAAAGAATTTAAATTGTTTCACTTCCAGGTTGCAAATTGCAATTAAGTTGTATGAAGTGGAGAGATGGCTAACAAAGCTTTGAGTGCACTCTTGGTCCCTTTCTAGTCTTTGTCCTGTCCTATTCTTCAATTCCTACAATCACGATACAGTGTACACACTACAAAAATCTACTTTGGTTCGGATACTTTGGACCATCCTAAGGTTGGGATGCATGGTTCCTCGCACTCCATACAGACCACTCTTATTATTTGTTGCATCATCGGAGAAGGATAAAAGCAGAAAGCAAATTTTGACTGGTGCTACAAGCCCTACAGCTTTAAGGTAGTTAGACAACAAGTTGCTAAAGCATCAAATATCTACAGATTGCAGAAAGTGAGACAATTTGTTGTAACTGTGCCAGATTGTGTAATAATGTGTCATACACAACCACAAAAAACATAAAAACATAAGGACCTTTGGAACATGGGTGTCCATATTGAAGAGTTATCTTCTAATGTAATTGACGTAATTGAAAAGGAATTTTCGATTCGAGCAGTTGAAGACACCAATTTTATTTTATTTTTATTGTTTTCTATTGATAATAATTTATTGGAAAGGAAAAACACCACAGATATTAGGGCAATTTTATACTCCCTCTAGCCCATAGAACATTAGTACATGCTTAGAGGTGTCAATTTCAGATAACCGGATGGAGTTTGGGTTGATCCATGACAGGTCAGGCTTGTTCGGGTCGGGTATATTCGGTTTAAAGTTATCCTTTTAACCCACCTCACGCCGGATCGGGTCACTTTCGGGTTGAGTCAAATTCTTGTTTAGATCTGTCGAGTCCAGATCGGGTTTGGATTGGGTCAACTTCAGATCGGTTCATATTCGGTTCGGATAAATTTGGATTGAATTCAAAACGGGTTTGACCGGGTTAATTTTGGGTCGGATGACTTTGGATTGGGTTGGTTTTCGGTTAATTTTGGTTCTGTTAAGTTCGATTTAATTACTTAGGGTGATTCGGTATTCGATTAATTATGATACATAAACTTTTCGTGTTTGGCTTAATTATGGTTGAGTTGACCAAACTTAATATCAAATAAGTACATATTTAAAACTAGAGTAATTATTGAGTTGTATTATTTTGTTATTGGGTCGATATCAAGTCATTCACGTGTCTTTTTCATATCGTGTTATTAATAAATGTTAAAGTAAAAAAAAGGTATATAATAAGTTGGGTTTAAAATTATGGTTGGTTTGAAATCATGGTAAGTCAAAATCAGGTCTGGTTAATATCATTTCGAATAAAAAACATATCGTATTGAATCGGGTATTTTTCGGGTCAATTTCGGTTCGGATTGAGTTCAAGTCGGGTCAAATCGATTTTGGGTTGATTTCAAGTCTGGTCAAATCGGTGCCGGGTTAAGTTTAAATCAGGTTAAATTTGGATTCGGGCTGAGTTCAATTCGGTTACAGTTCGGATTTGAGTCTTGAATTTGTCGAATCAAATCGGTTCGGTTACAGTTCGAAACGGATGATTTTACGGGTCGGTTCGATTTTGACACCTGTACATGCTTATATTCTTAATCAACTGTCCTTGTATTCTTAATCAACTGTCCTAAAATGTTATGCCTATAGAAGATAATTTCTTACATTACTTAAAAATAGCAATATGGCCATCAGTTGCATGGGAAAAAGTATATAAGATTTTAGGTACTAGGAAAAAAGAGGAGAAAGGTAAACTTACAAATTTGTTTAAGTGATTGCAAACATTAAATATGCAACAAGATTGTATTGGATATATGCAATGCATAAGAGATGTTTTTTCTTAAATTAGGTAATGTTGATTTTGAAACCTCTTACAAAAGTATCAATAGTAAAAGAATAAAGAAATATACACTTTAATAATCCCAACTTTGCCTGATTTACTTTGAATAATCCTAACTATTGATTATTTGCAATAATCCCAACTTTCATTTGTGTTTTCTTTCTTCAATTCCGATTACCAGTTATCTGAACCTGAAGAAAAGGTTAAAAATTATTTGCCACGTGTTAGATGTTTATTGGTTCAAAAAATAAAAAATAATAATTAAAAATATAAAAAGAAAAAACTGAAAAACCACCCAGCCCCTACCCCCTTCCCACCAAAACCCCAAACCCCACTACCCCTCTCCACCGGAAAACCCACTATTTCCCCCCTCTCTTACTTGCCAGCCGTCGCCCCACCGTCTCTTCGTCCTCCCTCTTCACCTTGAACCACCGCCCCTTTCCCGTAACCCAATCCCTCCCCTTGAAACCCTTCCCCCATACTTCCAAACACCTACAAAATCTCTCCCCCACCCTCGAAAAACTTAGGCCAGGTGAGGGGGAGGGGTTTCGTAGGTGTTTGGAGAGGAGGGGGAGGGGTTTCGAGGGGAGGGATAGGGGTTAAGGGGATGGGGGTGGCGGTTTAGGTTGGGGTAGGGGTAGGGGGCAGTTTCGGCGGTGTGGGTTGGGAAGGGGGCAGTTTTGGGGGGAGGGATAGGGAGGGGTGTTATTTCTGGTAGTGCGGTAGGGAGGGGGTGATTTTGTGGGTGGGGGCTGGGAAGGGAGAGGTTGCCGTTGGTGGGGGTTGGTTTTAATTTTTTTTTTAATTTAATTCAATTTTAAATTTCAAATTATTTTTTTTCTTTTTTTTTTCTATTTTTTTTTTTTTAATTTTTGGACCAATCACAACCGAACACGTGCCAGGTAACCTGGAATATAAAGTCATTGACTTTTGTTGACCGGTTTGGGATTGAAGAAAGAAAACGCAGGTAAAAGTTGGGATGATTACAGAAAAATCGAAAATTGGGAATATAAAGGAATTTCAGCCCAAGTACGGTAGGATCACTGTAGAATCGGATAGGTTCGCGTAGGATCGTGTAGGATCGTATGATCCTACCTGATCCTACTAGATTTCTAGATTATTTTGTATTCTAAATTATTTTTTGGATTGTATTGTCTTAAACATGGCTAATTATTTCAAAATTATTGGGTTTAGCATCAATTTTACCCCGAGTCACATGTAATAAGTATTATTAAAGTCTTTAATCACTCTTTTTACGAGTTTTTGTAAGATCTTACGTTCCTACAATCCAATTTTACTGATCCGATCCTATCAGCCCTTTTCGATCCAAAGTAGGATCTCGATCCTGGCAACTACGGGCGGTAGTATATAACAAATTTTTGGACAAATGTACCCTCCTTTTATTTAATATCTGAAACTACCTCAAATGTATACATATTCCTTTGCCCCTACTTATAAACTAAACCCACCTGGTAAAATTCTTTTCAAGCTCTTTGCCTCATTTTCCACTACAAAAAAGCATCCTTATTTATTTGCACATCTTAGTTCCAGTTTAGTTCATCTTTTTTTTTTCTTATCTGACCTGATAATAGCTTTTTTTTTCCTTTAATATGATATGTTTGTCTGATTTGACTTGATGGATTCGTAATAATATGTATCTTCTTAACATGCAATGTTCATTACAAATTAAAGATATTTAGTGATAAAAACCACACATAAAACGATAAAGTATGTTCAGAACTTATTTTTTCTGATTTGATCTGAAATAAGTAACAAGGTCCTAAAATAAGGTGAACTAAACAAGACCTTAGTCTCTTGTGATGTTGTGCTCTCTCTCTCTCTCTCTCTCTCTCTCTCTCTCTCTCTCTCTCTCTCTCTCTCTCTCTCTGGGTTATTATTGAATTTAAAAAAATTGTGCAAATTTTTTGTTATAGTTCATAATCACGAATAAAACCCTATGAAAATTTCAAAAAATCTCAAAGTTTTTGTTATTCTTATCTTGATCATATTTATATTAATGAAATAACAAAATCTAAATGTTTGTTTAACAAATAGGTGGTGGTTTGGAGTATGGAAAAGGCATAAAAAGCTTAACTGTGGATTATAACATCCATAATCTGTTATCTTTAATTGGTAAATTTTAATTAATATAGGAGAAGGAGATTAAGGTGTGGCGTTGATTGGAAAAGTAAAGGAAAGAGAAAAGTGTATGAATATTTAATTAATAGCGCATCTTCTGTGTGGCTGTCCACACACAAAACAATTTGTATGTCTGCACCGACTGCACGCCACGTCAACACACACTTACACT